TAACAGAAGTAGTCCATAATATTATTTGTGTTCTGGTTACCCCATATCTTGGAAACTAAAGTTATGTATATCTAATTGTGTGATGGCATTTGTGCTTCTGAGACAAAGTAAAGAAATGAATAGTGTGTGTCTTTTTTTTTTTTAACCTGATGCTGGAGCAACACAGGGAAGATTTGTTTTGTTAGCACTAGAAGGATGATAGCTCTGCTGCAGAATGAAATTTTACCTATGAGAATGACTTCTGGTGAATTATTTGTGATGAGGAGAGAAAGAATAAGTAGATTAGGAAAGCATGTTCTGCTCCTGCTGCTTCAAGTATTTTAAGGAAACATTAAAATTAACCAACTAGATACCAATTGCAGGGCAAATGGATAAGAGTTGTAGAAATCATGAGGACAACCAGGATTCCTTTTCATCCTATCTCAACGACTGGTAGCCCCTTAATGGGTGCCATTTGCTTTCCCTACATCTCCACTTTTCTCCCCTATCCTTGAAAGAAAGCAATTTATAAGTGAATCAAGAGCAATGTGGTAGAATCACACAGAAAGAGATCTGCAAGATATCTATGTGCTTGTGAGGTTAGGCATGTCCTGAGCCAGTCTCCCTGCACTCAATATGACTAATATTGTAGTTAAGTCTTAGCTCTCTCAAAGGTACACCTCCTCTTCCATTTGCCTTAAGGGGTATATATTTCACTGCAAATATGGCTCTGCATCATTTCAGTCTGCTTCAATGAAGCAAAATTTAAAAAGTATTTTAGTCAGCTCCTAAAAGGGGACATCTTACACAAATTTATTTTTGCCTCTTGGAGATATTCTTCCTGCTGCTTTTGTTATTGCAAAGCCCTGAAGGATTTCAGAAAGATTTCCTCTCTTCTGGCTCTTCGGAGCTATGCTGAAAGAAAGCTGGGAAGATGTGAAGGTGAGTACAATGCCTTAAGTCTTATTTTTATACTGAAAAAGAGTGTGGTTGAAGTTGTAAAGCAATTTTGTATAAAGCTGAAGCCATAAAGCACGGCTACTTTCAGAAATTTACTACAGCAAGACAATCTGGCTGAAGGAGTTCAGGCTAGAAATTACACCCAAATAGTAACGCCCAGTGCAGGGTCAAAGTTAGCAGAAAATGTCAAGGGCTGTATTAGTGCAGAAGTGCATCCAGACGCTTTTGCCAAAATCATCTGTCCTCGATGCAGGATTTTACGTTTGTCCTTGTTTGCTTCAGGAAGCACCTGCTGTCCCACTTCTCCCGCCGGCTGAGGTCCCCCCAGGTGTTGGTCTGTCTGTGTGCCAGCACTCCAAGCACGCTGCTCTCTCAGGCAGGCAGGGACAACCTCTGCTGCTGCCCTGTCCTGCATGCGCTCTCCCACCATCCACCGCTACCTCTCTGCTGGTGCATCTGGGACTCTGTCTTCTAGCTGAGGTTTCCATCCTTCAGTAACCTAGCTTAAAGTCCTCCTTACGAGGCTGGCAAGCCTGTTGGCAAAGATGTCCATGCCCCAGTTTGTTAGGTGAATCCTCTATCTGCCCAACAGTATCCTCAAAGAGAGTCCTGTCATCATAAAAGCCCAGAGGATCCTGGAAAGGTCTAAACGACATGTTGGCATTAATAGCACATGAGTGTCTGGGCTGATCTTTAGCCAGTGTCTCTCACAACGGGTCAAAATCCAGAGGGTAGCAAGTGAGTAATCGCTGCTCTGCACAATGAGTTCATTTTTCAGCTGATTCCCTATTGTGTTCCCTCCTGCTGCAATGTACATGAACTACCGTGTCAACAGATCATGCTAGTATCCCTACATGTTAATACTCTCCACATTAATATCCATATTCACATTAGATGTCAATCAAATGTAGTTTCTATTTGTTAAGTACAACTGATGGCATCTTTGTACTCTTTTTCCTTGTATACCACTTCTTGTAGAAGCCTGAACCTATTTGCTTTTTGATCTTTGCATTAGATTACTTTAACCCTGTCTCTTTTTGTCTACCTTTCATTTAGTAGTATCTGTAGTTTTGCAACACATGCTTTTAATTGTTCCTGTAGTAAGTCTCTTATTACTATCAGATCATGGTCTATTTTTCTTCACTTGTGAGAAAACAAGTTGTTCTATCAGCAGTGGCCGTAATGAAGACTTGTTTCATATCAGTTATGTCCTCCCTTCTTATCACAATAATCCAAGCTTCCCCTATAGTCTCCATGCCCTCCCATTACAATACCGTCAACTCCCTCCCACATCCTACACAATATCCCAATATCCTCTTTCAATATTTAGGCCTCCCTGCAGCATGTCCCGTTTCTGCTCCTTTACTTCCTAACCTCCCACAAGTGAGCCATGTCCTGAATTGTCACAGCTCCCCCATATCTCTTGCTTGACTAAGATAAGAGATAATATGTGTCGATAGTATGTGCTGTGACCTATCATTTAATGAGCTGACCAGTATTCATGGCCCGCTGCCACCATTTCATGGAAAAGCATGAAAAAACACAGCACCGTTTCTTCATTCCCTCCTTTGAGAGCTACATGAATCTCTCTTTTCCCCCAAACCACTCATCTTCAGGAAAGGCGTGGGAATATCGTACCTCCTACTTTGTACTAAATTTGACTGAAATTAGGTGATGGACTAAGAGGCAGTCAGGTGAGAGGCTAACAGGTGTGGGCAGGGTGGTTGTATAGGCAAATCCATTTATAGAGCTGCCTGTTCTTCCTCTTTCTGTTAATGCCACTCAGCTGTCATTACGTGAGAGCTCTGTTTTTTTTTTCTCCTCAAAGGGATAACTGTACCACTGAGAGGTTAATCAGAAACTCTACAAAAGACAAGGCCACAGGAAACTGATAATGCTTTGGCATTAGCCCAAACCTAAGTATTAGCAAAAAAAAAAACAAAAAACAAAAACAAAACACATTGGCTTGCTTCAGACAGGCACCAGGTCAGTGGCTACTACGTAACTTGCACAGTATTTGGGCAGTCAGGAAGACCAGAACTTCTCAGCCTTCTAGTCCTCAGCTGAACATTCTGCTTCCAACCACTTTTAGGACTTAAAGGGACAATTTGTGATATCAGCTAATCTTATCAGATCCAGCCAATGCATTTTTAATTTCTTACTTCCCCTTATCCTGTATATTCAGGCACCTCATGAACCCAAAGAATATATCCGTGTATCAGTACTAGGCTAGTGGCATTGGTTACATACAATTTTAGGTCTACCAAAAATGTAAAAATGTGTTGCATTTTCAAGTGTTACAGAGACCATTAAATGCTCACTTATCTAGTATTACATTAGACTCCCCTGTCCACTGTACAAACAGAAATATTTCTAGAGTTTGGTTGCTGAAGATTTCAGCAAAACATCTCATATACTGACTGGGAACAATTTCAGATTCAAAACTGTGTTTTACATTGCATTTTTACAGACACTTAATAACAATAGATTTTCTCCCAGTATTTAATCGGAAACTCCATGGAATCAAACCTTTAAGTATATATACATACATGTATATTTAACAATGATAACCAGTTAGGAAGAGATGACCACTTACGTAGTTAGCCTCCTAACGATAGCTGATATTTAGCTTGAAACACATACAGCGAGAAAAACTGCCAACAGCCTTATCCTAAAGCTCCTCTGTGATTCCACCAAACTTGGATTTCTGTGTTGCATCCACTCTTTGGTGTCCACAGGTCTATACAGACCCCATGAAAACAGTGTGAAAGACATTGAGGGCAAACACAGCATGAAATGGGTCAAAAAGGTTGTAAAGTGTTTCCAAACAAACTTTATCTCCCAGAAAGGGAAGGCACAGACAAGCCAAATACAGAAACTCATTTAATTTTCCCTAGTCTCTCAGGTTCGAACATCCAGAATGCATGTAGCTTTGCAGCTTCCTCCCTAATGCAGGCGCCTTTTTTTTTTCTTTTTCTTTTTTCTTTTTTCCCCTCCAATCTTACTCCCTTTAAAAGCGAAAGTAAGAATTTGTATATATGGATAAACAATCAGCTCCTTCAGATCTGGTCTATACGCACAGGCTGATCTGCAAAAACAGAAGGCCAGATTTGGCTTGGCTTCGCCCACAGAATGTAGTGACAGCGTTTGGCTTCCAAAGGGCACAAAGTCTTTATTTAAGCAGGAAAATAGTGTCTTGCATTCCTCGCCTCGGAGAAACAGCCTCTCGTGTACACCCAAGAGGTTGATTCCCAATAGGAGATTGTACAGCCACAGTAGAAGCATTATTGCCAATGGGAAGGGTGGGCCAGAGCTACGTTAGGAGACTGGGTGACTGCATAAAGAATGGATGTTTCAAGGAAGATGATGTTTTTCCCTGGACTGCAGCTAAAAGGATGAAAACTAGAGCTTTGGGTGGTATAAAATTCCTCTGGTGGTCCCAAGATACAAATGATTATTTTGAGGAGTCTGAGGAGTAGTCAGCTCAAAGCACTCCTGGGGAGTTACAGGCGTCCTCTTTAGCTGAGAATTGTTGGTAAAACAGGGTGAAAACAACAAATGGACATAACATACGTGAGATGTACGTGACTATATGGGATGTATGTGACATATATGAGATGTACATGACATTTATGAGATGTACGTGACATATATGATATGCACGTGGCATATATGGGATGTACATGACATATATGGGATTCACGTGGCATATACGGGATATACATGACATATATGAGATGTGTGTGGTATATATGAGATGTATGTAACATATACGAGATATACACAACAACCCATGTACATCTCGTGTCAGGACACGCTATCTGGATGCCTTCACTGCGTACAGGGCAGCTGGACAACAGCACATCACAGAGTTCAAGCTGCAGGCAGACCACAGGGCAGAACACACACTCAAAACTCGAGCGGGGAACCCTCAGCCCCCTCAACACCGCCATGGGGGCCACCCCCTGGGCGGGACAGCATCGGGGGCGGGAGCACCGCCATGGCGGCCCACCCCGCCCCTCCCGCCATGCCGCACGCGGAGCTCCGTGCGCGGGGCACGCCGGGGGCTGTAGTCCCGGGGCAGCTCCGTGCCCCGTGCCCCGGCCGTTCCGCAGCGGGGCTCCCGGCCGGCCCCGCCGGGCATGCAGCGGCTGCTGCGCCGCCTGCTCCCCGCGCTGCGCCCCGCGCTGCGGCCCCGCGCCCTCCTGGCCCCGCCGCGGCCCATGGCGCTGCGCCCGGCGGCGGCGGCAGCGGGGGGCGGCGGGGGCCCCCCCGGCGGGTCCCCCCCCCGGGAGCACGGTGAGGAGGCGGCCGGAGGGAGGCGGGGAGGGACGGAGGCGGCCAGGCTGGGCTGGGCTCGGCTCCCCGGCGCCGTCCCTGTAACGGGAGCGGGGCGCTCCAGGGGAGCTCCGGGCCTGATCCCCCCGGGCTCCGGGGTGCGGGTGGGAAGTAATGAAACGTGCCTTGGGGCGCCCCGCTGGGCGTGCTTCCCTGTGCGAGCTAGGGGGGTCTTCCTGATCGCTGTTTGTATTTCCTGCTGGAACAGATGGCTCGTGAAGATCAGGAACCACTTAAAGACATCTATAGGATCGTGCAGGTTCCTGCTCGTTTATAAAACCCAGGCGATGTCGTTAAAAGTGCAATTAAAAAAGAGTTTATCCTGCAGTAGCTTGGTGATCAAGGTGCTCCTACTTCTTGGGTTGCCTAGGTCTCAGATGACCTGCATCAAGTCAGGAATCCCTAAAAGTTCTGTTTTCCCCTTGTTTTAGTGACCAGAACACACTTCTTGGACTCTGTCGCTGCTGTCTTCAGCGTGTTGTGCCAGGGATCTTGGTAACTTCTCTGCCCTGGTTGTCAGTTTCATGGATTTTTGTCTTTTCCTTCAGTTCGTGATCTCTTTGAAGGATTGGGTTTGTGAAGGGTAGGTCCTGCCTAACTAACCTGATTTCCTTTTATGATAAGATCACCCGTATGGTGGACCAAGGGAAACCAGCTGATGTGATTTTTTTGGACTTCAGCAAGGCTTTTGACACGGTTTCCCATAGGATCCTACTGGACAAAATGTCCAGCATACAGCTAAATAAAAACATCATACGATGGGTGAGCAATTGGCTAACGGGCAGGGCCCAAAGGGTTATGGTAAATGGGGCTGCGTCAGGCTGGCGGGCGGTCACCAGTGGGGTCCCTCAAGGCTCCATTTTAGGGCCGGTACTTTTCAATATTTTTATAAACGATCTGGATGTAGGAATAGAAGGCATTTTGAGCAAGTTTGCTGATGACACCAAACTTGGAGGAGTTGTGGACTCAAATGAGGGTGGAAAGGCCTTGCAGAGGGATCTGGATAGGTTGGAGAGCTGGGCGATCGCCAACCGCATGAAGTTCAATAAGAGCAAGTGCCGGGTCCTGCACCTGGGACGGGGAAACCCTGGCTGCACGTACAGACTGGGCGATGAGACGCTGGAGAGCAGCCTAGAAGAGAGGGATCTGGGGGTCGTGGTAGACAGCAAGTTGAATATGAGCCAGCAGTGTGCCCTGGCAGCCAGGAGGGCCAACCGTGTCCTGGGGTGCATCAAGCACGGCATCGCTAGTAGGTCGAGGGAGGTGATTGTCCCGCTCTACTCTGCGCTGGTGCGGCCTCACCTCGAGTACTGTGTGCAGTTCTGGGCACCACAGTATAAAAAGGACATGAAACTGTTGGAGAGTGTCCAGAGGAGGGCTACGAAGATGGTGAAAGGCCTGGAGGGGAAGACGTACGAGGAACGGCTGAGGGCACTGGGCCTGTTCAGCCTGGAGAAGAGGAGGCTGAGGGGAGACCTCATCGCAGTCTACAACTTCCTCGTAAGGGGGTGTCGAGAGGCAGGAGACCTTTTCTCCATTAACACCAGCGACAGGACCCGCGGGAATGGGGTTAAGCTGAGGCAGGGGAAGTTTAGGCTGGACATCAGGAAGGGGTTCTTCACAGAGAGAGTGGTTGCACACTGGAACAGGCTCCCCAGGGAAGTGGTCACTGCACCGAGCCTGACTGAATTTAAGAAGAGATTGGACTGTGCACTTAGTCACATGGTCTGAACTTGGGTAGACCTGTGCGGTGTCAAGAGTTGGACTTGATGATCCTTAAGGGTCCCTTCCAACTCAGGATATTCTATGATTCTATGATTCTATAATACATTGTTTTCTGTGTGCTGGTGGATCACCAGCAATAACCTCTGTTGTGTACACTTTATATGTTAAGTAATAAATTTATGATTGCTTTAACATCTCGTTGTGGCACATAGTTTGTAGTGTCTACAGGGGGTACAAACAACCAGTCTAAATAGCTTGCTTCTTTTTACTCAGCCTCTGGCGCAAAGTTAGGTGTCAGATCACAACCACGGCGTGATTTATGCCTCCCTACTTCAGGCTGGAGTGAATTAGCATTGAACCAACTTGTTCTTTTACTTATCATCCCTAGCATAGAGTGATACACGCACACAAAAAAACAAACCCCACTCTATAGGGCTCTAATAGCCCAGGCTGGGTCTGTACCATTGATTTTACACAGCTAGTGCAGCTTTGCATGGCACAAGAAAATAATACACACTTCTGCTGCCAAATTTCCCCCTTGGGCCAGATTTGGACTATCTGCACTGGTCACAAGAGGAGCTTTGAAAGCGTGTTGTCTGTAGTAATGAGCTGTCCTGGGATAAACTGCAATTCTGACATAAGGCTTCTTCCACTACAGTAATCCCATTGTGGACTTGTCCCAGAAGAATATTGCTGGATGTTTGGTTACGTGCACATTTGCTGTTGCTAGAGGAGATTTTGATTTTTAACTTCTTACGGTATAGCTTAGTACACAGCTATTAGCATTTACTGATGAAGAAATATGAAGCAAGTATAGGGAAATGACTGTGCATAATTAGTACTCTTGGGGGGATAAAGGCCTTTTTGAAAACTTTTTAGTGGAGTTCCTTCTGTCATCGTGGTATTTCTCTGAGATTCATGTTTATACATGCAAGATGAATTTAGATTTGTAGTGATTCCTTCTTAAATGCCGTTAGTTTCTAGAACAGGTTGAAATTGTTGCTGTCTATAACATGTTAATGCTGTGTGGGAGGTGCAGGAATAGAATAATCATCTCATTCTTGCATGATGTAGTCAGCTGAGAGTTCTTTGTTTTATGTGGAACTGTAGGATTCCCTTTGTGCTCCTCCATGCCTCATTTGCAGTGTGTTTACACTGCAAGTCATTTGCCAGTCTTCATCTGCATTCAATTTCATATGCCATTGCTGTTATCTAGAGTGAACTTTACATGATACGTAAAGGCTTACTGTTTTATACTTGGTCATAACTGTTCTCTTTGCACGTAATTGCATTTACTCAGTACTGAACAAGAACAAGTTATTAAACATAGAAAGCTAAATTCACTTTTTATGCTATTCCACATCGAGTGTTGAAGTCCTTTTGCTGATATGTTGACAAGGAAATGCTGGTAAATAGAGAAATTTATAAATTGTATATTGCTTGTGTATAATGCCACTTGGCTGTTTGTATTGAAAACTCAGACCCAGTGTCTTAAAATATATTACAGATGGGCTGGAAAATGTACAGGAAAAGAAGAAAATCTTTGCCGAGATTAAAAAAGCAACACAACAGAGAAAAAAGCCATGTCCATCTGCTGAATCAGTAGACTCTCTGATGGCAGAAATGCCGTTTGCCAACACAGATATTGAAGATGAATTTGCTCGTAAGTAAATCTAAACAGAAATTGTGTTTCTGTTCCACATGCGCTTCTTGGTTCTGCTTGTTGGAGCTCACGGGTGGGCTCTGTGCGCAGGGTGGTGGAGTTCCTGCAAGCAGTATCAAGCCTGGTGTATCTGTTGTTGGTAGGCAATCCTGTAGGTACATGAGCGTATTAAAAATGTACTATTTTATGATCCGTTTCAAGATTTAGTTGCAGAATAAATACATCTTTTATGTCTGTTTGCATTACTACATATGAACTTTTCAATTGATGGCTTCCAGCTGATGGTTGGAAGAGCTGTCTTCCAACACCTGTGTTCCCAGCACATGGCTATAAATAAGTGCACCTGTCAGTGGACGGTGGATGACTGCAGTCTGGTCACCTTATGGATGTGTATACCCCCATGTGGTGGGAGAGGGTCTGCAAAGTCTTGAGGAAATAAGCTGGGAGGGAAGTGATTTATGGTACAGAGAGAACTGAGGACATGCACTTCCTGTTGGAAGGAGCCTTTGGGAAAGGAGCCAGACAGTAGGTCTTGTTTGGATTAAATTTTCTTCTGGGCAGGGTTTGTTCTATGAACTGTAGGTTGGCCAGTCCTAGTCTACTGCAACCTTTTCCTTTTGTATTCTTGTGTATTACCTTGTTTTGAAGTCATGTCCATTTTCATGTGTGGACAGTTGCAGGCCAAGCCCACTGCAGTGAGCTGACAAAACATGGGAGTAGCTGGGAAGCTGTGTTAGCAGTTGATGACCCCTGCTTGGAGATACAGGCTTTTATTTCAAGTATGATACTCCACCTGGGTGACTGTGTTAATTCAGGTTGGAATAGGATCGCAATCAGACAGTTCAGCGCATGGGCAGATCAGATGCTTCAGTCAGTTGACTGAAGGCAGCTCCTGTAGGCATGATGTTATTTGTATCTTCGTTCCAATTTGTCTGTATGCTGATTTTTTTAAATCTTTTTTTCTTTTCAGTGCATGCCACCTCCGAAGTAAATAAGGAAAAGAAAAGAAAGAGGACTACTGGAAAGGAAATTCCAGAAGGCAGTGAGAGAAATAAGAAAAAGAAAAAACAGTATCAGCCAAATTATTTCATTTCTATTCCAATTACTAATCCAGAGGTGATGTTCTTTATGATAGTAATTTGGTATAACCAGAATTACTTAAACAGCTACATGTGTTTGTAAGAAGAGAGGTTTATATTTATCTTTTTATTCAGTTGAATGGATTTCATACTGTTTTGATTGAAGCTGGCTTAAAGTTCCACTTTGCACTTTTCCAGTATTGCGTATTTGGTGTTTCATTTAAAATAAGGAAAAGAGACATTTCATTTAATAGGGAAAAACTCTGCATTATTTTTAGCTCTCCTTATAGGTAAGAATTTAAATTTGGGTCTGTTGTTGTTTTAACAAGGCATTTTGTAGTTTAAAAAGTTTCCAGTAAAATAGATATTCTTATTTAAAATTCAAACAAGCTGTTGTTTTAGTGACAAGCTGTTCAAATGGATTCAAGAAGTGCAGTGGACTTTTAAAGAACATGTATTTTCCTATAGTTGGCATATGTTGTCTCATTTAACCTAGCAGTGAACAAAGATGATGTTTTTATGTGCTGTGGGATGTGTCTGATACAACTTTGGTATTGTGTGTCTTCAGCAAGGAAAGTAGGTGTATTATGTTTAAAAAGTTAAAAACAACAGTTTACCACCATTTCCAATTTTAGATTTATATTTTAATATCAGAAGCTATATCTTTCAGATGATCTTTAACTCATTCTACATCTGTACTGTTTTCAGAGAAAGTCAAAGATTGAGATAATCTGAAATTAAAATGATATAATCTAGATTTGAATGTTACGATGCAGTCTTCGATGCTTCAAAAAGCATTGTGTGAAGAAGAGATTGCAGAGGCTCTATTCTTCGTCTTCAGAATAGATCAGGAATAGCCTGACACAAATATCTTTTATGCCATCTTGGTCTGAAATGGCGTTTCTTCCTGTCTCTTCCATCATTTAACAGCAACAATTAATGCAAAGGTTACATAATCTGATCTTTGAGAACTGCTGCTCACAATTGTTATGTTGAATTGCTGGCTGAGTAGAAAAAATCTTAACTAAACTTCATTTTTATATGCCCTGTATTGTTTACAAAGGTAAAGAAACAACTCTAAATCTCAGAGCATTTTGGGAATTCCAAGACTTTGCTAAAAAGTTTTGTTTATACTTGCCTCAGATGTAGAGTTGTTATGAAAGTAGAAAATACACGTTGGAATTTGTATAGGCAACATTAGCCAAAATGTAGACTTAAGACACCTGGCTTCTTGATAGCCAGAGGGGATCTGGTAATTACTAGTAGCATTTCAGTTAGGAAGGAGGGGTCTTTCCTTTGTGAGGATCTAATTTTACTCCGGTGAAGTGTTTTAGGCATTAGTACTCTTTCTTCATGTTTTATATAGGCTTTTAACCTTTACACAGAGAAACATTTTGTAGTAAGGAATATTTCTGGAACACTTAATGAACTGTTCCTGTTGAAAATTAAACATTTTCCTTGCTTTCATTTTAATCATGTTCCAAATCTTAAGAAGTAAAATGAGGTATTCCATTAATTTGGGATTTATATTTAACGTTTTATTAGTTCTGTAAGAATAGTTGAATGTTATCACTTGGCAGGTTAGTCTTTCGGGCTCTTCCAGTCTTGATTATAATTTCAATTAATCTGTTAAATCTTTTAAAGCTCACAGTATTCACTTCCCAGTAGTGTTCTTGCAGTAAGCAGAATCATTATTTTATTACTCTTCAGAATAACATATCCCAGGGAATGGGAGAGGATACCTTGAAATTACTATTTGAGTCCTTATTTAGGGGGAAATTTTATAAATAATCTGAGAGGAGAATTATTGAGTATGATCTGCCCTCAGCCATTTCTTTTTGGAAATGGATATGGAAGTTAGGAAGTCTCGGATTAGATGAAGTTGTTGTCAGCATGACAGCAGTTGAAATTTAACATAAAATTTCATAAGGTAATGTAAATAGCAAGTAAAAACAATATAAAGTTTTCATTCATGCATGGGCTATAACTAGGTATTACTGAGATTCAGGAAGAGTCCTGGCTAGCTTGATTAAAATTCAGTGCTCTCAGCTGTTAAATGCACATTCGATTTACTGAAGAGAACAGCATCAGTCTGAAGTCGTGACAGCATGGCTAAGCTCTAGCTGTTGTGTTACATTTTGATCATGTGAGTTCTGGGAAAACACACTAAAAATAAATTGCTGAATTCACAAAAATGGATTTGAAAAGTTCTTTTATCCCTTCTCTCTGTACAACCTCAACATCTATCATGCAGAATGTTGTTGCTCCAGCCAGAGAACACGATCACTCGTTCTTCTATTTTGCTATTTTCAAGAAGGCAACTCATTTCTCTGCTGGGTTCAACAACAGCTTGTCTCTGGACCTGCTAACTGTCCATCTTTGGAATTAATCTTCTTCCAAAGGTGTGTTATTCATTAGGTTTTAGCCTGTCAGAGGTACTCATTTTCTACGGTGTTTTGTGGAATTTGTGGTGGTGAAAAGAGAGCCTTGAAAGAACGTGCGTGTGTTACAGGCTGCAGTGTGAGTATGGCAATTACCTGTTTTTTGAGATCTGACAGATGATGAATAAAAATATGCATATTTTTTAGGCAGTCAACCCCCGATAACTGAAAATCAGCCACAGCATGTGTTCTTTCTTGCCCGAGCTAAAACTGAGCTATAGGAGGGACCTGGGGGTAGTGCAGGGAGTTTAGGAAATGAATAGGAAGGGATTTGGAAGTACTACTGAAGGGAACTGTATGGGTGAGGGAAAGTGGAGTGTTGTCTGAGTAACTGAATGCTGAGTAACGCTGATCTTTTTTGAGCTATGATATGGTTTTATCACTGTGATAACACAGCTCCAAACCTGTTTAATGTATTCCGAAGGGCGTGTATACTTACACGTATCTTTTTTTTTTCTTTGCCAGCTCTCAGGTACAAATTAAATTTAGAAAGAGTAGTCAAAAATAGTTGAAAATGGAATGAAACTGTAATTGTTATGATAGAGCATTTCATTTTTTTTTCTTTACTGGGGTAACTGCATTTGCTTTAGTTTATAAACTTAAATAATTATGCAGTCGATACACTGTAGCTATCAGGGATTGTGTTTACCAGTTTGTTGTGTAAACACGGGTTAAGTTTCTCCTGCATCTGAGACTACAATAGAAGCATCACGTATTTATGATAAGTTCTGACTATGAAGGAAATGGTCTTATATTATAACAAGAGTTATAATCGGAGTGCTGGTGCAATTTTCTTCATGTGTCTCACACTACTAAAGACATGTCTGAGCTGTAGATGCCATATTACTTCTGGCAAGTGAGTTTCGTTTCCTCCTCTCCACCCTTCCTGGAGTTGGTCCTCTTCAGCTCTAACTAGTTTTTATTTATATGGTGCTTTACCTTAAATAAATAAATAAAATGCTACTAGATATATTAGGTAAAACTCTTGCATGGCAAACCTCATCATAAGGACGTGGGTCACAGAAGTACTGACCACTCCCATTATAGTGTACTTTTTATGGAAATTTGTGTGTTAATTATCATTAGAAGAGTAACTAAATTGAAGCTTTTCTTTTTTTTTTTAGCCTAACAGCTACTTGTGCTTGTTATAACAATTAATATATACAGTATATTCATTAAGCATTCACCAATGGGTTTCAAATAAAAATCAGATTCAAGTTTTCTACATGCTTCTTTCACACTATATACCCCAAAGCTGATTTGTCTGTAATATCTTTGCTTACCATCATTTAGAAATAACTCATTTTGTCATGTGGTCAAGGTTACTGGATTTAATTTCTACTAACATACTCTGCATTCTTGAAGTTTTTTAAAAAAATTAATACAAATATCATAATTGCAGGCACAGTAAGCAAGTTGAATACAATTTGTAAAGCATATATAACTATACAACTAAATTTGATTGAAGAAAAATGTGAACTAAACACTTTTATAGAAAAAGACTGGTGGTGTTAGAACTGTATAGGTATTACAGAGATTCATTAAAACGTTTGAAGAGATTATATAACTTATACAATCTTTTGGACAGTATAATCAGAATTGTAAATCTCCACAAATAGCTTACTGACTATTTGCCTGTTCCTTTTTTGCCTGATACTGTAAAGACCCCTTTATCTTTTCAGACACTTGTCTGCACATAGCAGTATACATGTTTAGCAGACAGTAGAGAAGCTCTCTAAAGAAGCCTCTGATCTGGACTACTGACAGTGTAAAATTGGATGATTTTAATCTGTTCCGGGAATTTGTCATTTTATGGAACCTAGCTCCTGTTAAGATGTGATGGGAAATGTCCTGCTACTTGTTAATCACTGCATTTGTACCCACTATGAGTTTACTCAGGCCAATTAGCACAGCTTTATCAGAGGATAAAACTTGCTTCTGCTAGGATGATTCCTACATAAACATTTGACTTCAGTTTGTGCACTTTCTTGTTCACTTGCATTATGGGATGCAGTAATTGCTAACTGCTGTTTCTGTGCCTGTCTGTCTTTCCAGATTACTGACGGTATTCGGGCCGTCCAAGATGCAATAATACAAAAGGATCATAGGCTTTCCAAAGCAATGGTTCGCTGTGCCTCACTGCACGTCACCATGTTGGTGATGCATTTATCTGGTGAAGAAGAAATTGGCATGTAGGTATTTTGGTGTTAAATGTATAAAAGTAGTTTTGTTGGAGGAGTTAGTAAAAAAGACTAGGAGGGGTAATTGATGCTTGTTTTTTGTCATCCCTAAATTACTGGGGCTACTGAGCATTTAATTCATGTTGTTCTTAAGGTGCTAATCTTAATATCAGCCATTTTCCTAATTTATGGTATGTCATAAGTTCTGCTCAAAGTACTCGTTTTGCTTCCTTACATTTTTCATAACTGTGTGCTGAACTTGCATGCACACATCTCATGTTTGCTAAAGTAGTTATTTCAAAACAATGTTTTGTTGTAGGGGACATTGAACAGATCAACAGAGGAGCTTTCAGAATTTTGTAGCTCAGCAGATACTATAGGCCAAATTAGTAACTTTCATTGAAAGACTTCAATGAAATAAGCCTTAGCTGCAAGGTAATGCCTCATGCAGTTGGCTATTAATGCCTCTAAATGAATTTGTTATACTCAAACTATAAGTACATTTTTAAAAGAGAGTTCATTAGGCCTTATCAAAAGTATAATTTTTATATTGCTTCAGTGAAATAGCTGAGTTTTTGCTCATATAAAAGTCCTAACAGTCATGGAAAGGGCTATGTGTTATGTGATGATACCATGTATAAGTGTCAAATGTGACTATTTGCTTTATAAAAAATGAAGTTGTTGGATGGCTTTTACTGTTTATCACATGCTGTATAGCTCTCTGACAAGCCTACTTTAAAGTACAAGCTCCATGGTTAATATGAAGAAATTCAGACTTTTAAGTCCATACAGCTATCATTTATGAACCTTTAGAATAATAGTTTGTGTGTCTAGCTGTACGATTGACTTGAAAACATCCTTTGTGTTTCATAGTCCTACTTCACACAGACTTTCCTGGCAGTTGCTATTGAGATGCGGTGCCCAGTAGCCTACATATGTCATGTCTCTCTGTATGTGTACATTGTAATTGCAGGATGGAGATGACAAACACTTGGGTACCTGTAGCAGTGTTAATTAAAATGCTGATAAATGGCCTGCTGGCATTATACAGACATCTGGGAATCCTCCATTGCTTATGTATCAATTTTGAAGAGAATTAGTGATGAATCAAAAGTCCTTATATTGTAATTTTGTGGAAGAAAAGCGTTGCTTTTTCATGTACCCAAGATGAGTTCTTTCAGGGGACTTCCATCATCTATATATCGTAGTGGTTTTCTCTGCAGTATTAGAAGATGTGCAGTCCATATACTGAATTACATAGATCCAATAATGAACAAGTACAGTGAGACATTGCTTGGGTTTTGGTCACACAGTTAAAAAATGATGTGTATAAAGTGTGTGCATTGAATAATTTTTCCCCCAGAAGGTTTTGCTACTGAAGTACAGATTGCTCATAGGAAAGCCAGAATCCAAGGTGGAATGTAAGAACAATTAGTAGAAGGTATTTTGGCTGAAAACATTTATCACACCTAAAAATAATGATATCAATGTATCTAAATCAATTGCCCAGCTTGTTTTTCACATGTTTCCTTGAACGTTGTAATATTGAATCCTTGAGGGATCTATGCTGTCACCTCTTCTGTGAGGTTACAAATCTGTTGGCTTCTTCCTCCAACACTGCTCTGAAGGGAGAGACACAGACAGCTGGAAGCAGGGAATTGAAATGAGAGCAAAGGATTCTAGATTTGCTGGGCTCCCTCTCCTCTCCACGTTCTTTTGTCTCCTGGAGTTGGCACACAAGCTTCCTCCTTCTCTGGTTGATGAGTGAACTTTGGTAGCACCTGAAAATCAGAGAGAACAATCACCAACTGTGCGAGCACTTTTTTTTTTAAGGGTTTTAAGTATGAACTTCTGAAGAAGGCAGTATGAGAGGATACCTCAAAGGCAAGTATGCCTCCTCATGACTGGAGTCACGAATTCTGTATCAAAATGAATATTGCCAAGTTCAGTATTCTCAGCAACATCCTTTGCAGCTCTCTCTGTTCAGCTGCCACCTGGGCACTTACTTATGGAGTTCTTCTCTGCCTCTCCCAGCAGAACTCCACAGTCCAGGCATGCAGGAGCTGTCTTCTAGTCAGCAGCAGCTTCCCCAGGGATTCACCCCTTTCCTGGCCAGGTGCCTACTACAGGTGTCTAGCTCAGCTATCCTCAGGTATTCTAGGTTGCATTTCTATTATATGGAATTCTTATTTTTCTCATAACTGATGTTTTCTGCTTAATATTCTGTAAGTACTTGAAGAGTTAAAACTTGAATTTTCTTTTCCTTGCATCACCAATTTTCGATACTACATTAATGGAATTAAATCAAGATCCAGACTAGCAGAAGAACCTGTGTGTAATTTCAGATGACAGTAGTCTCTCAAACAAAGGGCAACTAGTGAACTAGACATCTAAGAGTTCACAGATCCGAAAGTTTGGATGTGTTAAGTTACATAGATATCTACAGTTTTTCTGCTCTATATGCACAATAGTACTTCTGTCTGTATAGAAATGAAATGAGTTGAACGCTATTTGAAGTCCAAACACATGATAAGAATGTTCTAAACATAATACTCAGTTCAGCACAAAGCTCTTTATATGATGTTTTAGTACATACAGCTTTTGCCTTGGAAATAGAAGATCTGCATTTTAGGTTTCTCCTTCTAAGGGAATCCAGACCTACAATTTGCATGGGAATTTTCTAACTCATGGGCTGTAGGCTAGCCTTCATGAGGACACGTTACAACTGTTTTTATAAGACTGTATGAAATCAAGAATGTGAGGTTTAAAATAACATAAAGAAAACAAGCAAAAAAGAGTCATGACAGCACTCCCTTCAAGCAAAGCAGTTGTAGTCCATGCTAACAGCATGTCTTTTATCTATTTACTTTAATGTCAAATGCATTCGTAGCATACTTGGGATCTGGTATTGGAAATTAGGATACCAGCCTTCACAGTAAGTGCCTTCATTAACAGACTATAGCTTAAAGTTCCTTTTGTAACTTGTCAAATACTGTGAATCTAACCTTTTTATTATAAATATGAAAGCTATTGAATTCTAAACTAACAGTTCAGAAATTCCTGAAAAGAATTACACCAAACAAACGCTATAATGTTTACATTAGAACAGTATAGAAAACGAGAAGCACTGCTTCTGTAACCCTTGTTTGTATACACTGAGAATATACTGCCTTTTTTTATTATTATTTTTCCAGTTTGGAGCAAAATGCATGTAAGCTCTTTTGTTATGTTTGTGGGGTAGTTGCACTGAGTGTAATTACTGTTTGGCATTGTAAGTACTATTTGGTATGGAATAAGAAGAAAATACCACTGTTGTGTTCATTGCTGTTGAATTCAGCGGAAACGTTTGTCCTTTGTGCTTTATTCTTACAAAGCAATTGTCAGTTGTTATAAAACGATAGATGGAAAAGAAAAATACAAAATATTCTCAATAGAGATGACAACAATTTTTTAAAAATAATTTAGTGTATTTAAAGATTATTAAAAAAAAAAGTAGAACTAAATCTTTAGTGACAACAGTGCTAAACTGAAAACACACTGCTCTGTTTGAGTTGACCTTTCATAGACCTCATCAACTGGAATTGGGCTGGTCAGTGAGTTCTGCAGCACACCCTACAGTATGGAAATACAAGTCTGTATTCAGCTGGGGACCAGAGCTTTCCATGGCTGTCTGTGTACCAGTTCTCAGATGTAGAAAGTCCAGAGAGGGATTTTAGGGCATGATTTAGTACTTAAAAGCCCACTGAAGTCTTTGATACTGTTTATTAGTAATATCTGTATCTGTTTTGGAATGATTTTCAGGTTTGTGTCAGTAAATAAATACAGAAACAATAATCTGTGAAATAATCTGACAGGTATAATCAGTATTAGATGGTGTTTTTAAAAAGCCTTGAAGTATAGCAGACATGGAGGGCACTTAGAACAATCTTGTCTTAAGGTGATGAAGGTGGCAGAGATAATGCTTAAAAAGAAACACCTTTGCCAAGGAACAAGTAATAGCATTGTTGCTGAAAGTGATCATACAGGAGCTAAAATACTTCCAGTTTGTAGCTTAAAGTCGTAAGAAAAAACACAGGAGAACTATATCAATCAGAGATGCTTTCTTAACCTGGTCTTGATTTCAATTAACTGTATGGTTCCCATCAAGACTCTGTCTTGTTAAACATAATGGAAAAGTGAGTAGAGCTGTTTGTATGTGTACAGGCTTAAAAAATAGATTTCAGAAATTATGGTGATGGCTTTCATCCAGTTGCTGTAGAGAGAATAAAATAAACTCTCAAAATTTTTTTAACCTGTTACTGCCATCTAGCGTTGATAAAGTCAACATTAGTTTAGTGAGCTGTTCAAATTTAGTTTCACTGAGTAGAACTAAAAACTTGGAGCATGCAAGAGAATTTTAGAAGACGCTAAGAATATATATACATTTTTTTTCTCATGAATCATTTCAAAACAAGTACATGTACTTAATGGGGCTAATTAAAATGATTATTAACAGGTTACCAGGCTTGCTACAGTTTCTTAAGTTACATGTATATTATATGTGCGCCCTACTTCTCCCTTAAAGAAAGTAAGCATTAATTTAGATAGTATGTCTTTTCCTGATAGCTCTCAATGAGCTTAATAGTAATTTCCATCTAATTCCATCTAATTTTATCATTATATATATATATATTACATATAAAATGTCACTAACCTCTGTTTACAGTAATAAGTAATATTCTGTAGCAGGTTTGAATGAAGTAGCATCTTAGAGTGTCCCATTGCAATGTCAGGAGAAGAACAAAAGGAGGCTACTTTCAGAATGGAAAACCAAATGCTTCTGAATTAGAGTCTTACTTAAATGGGATGCACAGAGTAATAGAAATATTGTCATCTTATTATCTAGTCACATTGAGAATTGAGATAAATTCTTTCAAGGAATTGTACTTGCTGCTAAGTCTGCCTTGTAGTTTCCATGTTTTTACAACAGGGCATATGAACCAGTTTACCATTATAAAATGATGAGAATAGTACTGACTGCATTGATAGGGAGTAGTGCAAAAGTACCTGAGTAGCTAATAAATCAATACTAATAGAGCTTTCTGAGACTTATGTATAGAAGAATTAATAGAAATGTAAACATTAATATTTGACTTTCACACAGATGTTTTCTTTCTTCTTGACAGAGCAGTTGATGCTCTTTCAGACAGCAAGGATTTTGTAGAAGATCTCCTAAAAGGAAAAACTGTGGACTTGTCTTTTCAAGGAATTGATCATTTCAAAAATGAAGTTGGATTTGTGAAGTTGACAGAAAATGATCATACAGCTGTACTTACAGAAATAGCAGGTAAAAAAAGTTATTTCTTACACATTGTGAAGACAGGCTCAGAGAGTTGGGGTTGCTCAGCCTAAAGATGAAAAGGCCCAGGGGAGACATTACAGTGGCCTTCCAGTGCCTAAAGGGGGCCTACAGGAGGGACTCTTTGTCAGGGATTGTAATGGTAGGACAAGGAGTAATGTCTTTAAACTAAAAAGGATAGATTTAGATTAGATATTAGGAAGAAATTCTTTACTCTGAGGGTGGTACAAAGTGTGAGAACAGGTCATCCAGAGAAGCTGTGGCTTCCCCATCCCTGGAAGTGCTCAAGGCCAGGCTGGATGGGGCTTTGGGCAACCTGGTCTAGTGGAAGGTGTCCCTGCCCATGGGAGGGGAATCAGAACTGAGTGGTCTTTAAGGTCCCTTCCAACCCAAACCAGACTGTGATTCTATGATTCTGTGATGTATTTGCACCTGCATGTGCACTAACTCTCAGTTCTGTCTTAGCAGTGGAGCTAAGGCTGCTTCATTTGCCAGTCAGGTAAAATGCATCCAAAATGTAGTTCTCAAGTCAGTAGGAATATATAAATTAAAAGGCATATAAATATCAGCTGAGTAACAGTAGACAGTATTTAGATCAAACCAAGGTCCAGTGGAGTTTTTTTATCTGTGTACAAGGCTGTACTTAAATTATGTTGTTTACAGATATTAAAGAAAAATTATCAGTAAACAGTACTGTCTGTAATTCACCAGTGTCCTTTAAAACTATCCCAGTAATTCCAGCTATTCTTTGAAAAGAGTCTTTTAAAGAGTTTTTCAGTATTGATGAATCATCTTTTGTGTTCTGTGGAATGTGAGGTCACACCATTTTTTAATAGTGCAATAACCCATATCAGGCATTTTGCGGAACAGCAAAGACTACTGTTGTCACGCTACATCTTATGCAGTCCAGTACAGAGAAAAAATGGAGAAAGTCTTCGTTAATACACTGCTTTATCTAGCAGTTCACTAGGTTAATTTCTGACGTGCATTTCCATAATGTTTAGTATTTTTTAACTTACATTTTGCAGAGAGTTTGAAGAGAGGAGTGTGAGAGAGCTTTCCAGCTTACTAAATTGCTTATGTTGTTATTGGGCGATGCCTTCTTACTTTAAGCAATGTTTGACAGAGAAGTATTTTTAATATTTATTATAGTAGGAATTGAGCAGTACTTACAGTTCCAGAGAGGCTTTGGTTGTCAAATAATACCATAATTATTTTAGGGATTTAATGTACCAAGTATTTTTTCAGTCATTTGGAAGATACGCTTCCTCATCCTTGTCTTTGAGTTTGTCTTTACCTTTCTTTTAAAGGTGACAGAACACTGTGTGTACGCTGCTTTTTGAACAGTGAGAGTTCACGTAGAAGCTGAGTTCCCTTTCAGTACCTCTTATGAAAGGAGATGAATGGTTTCTGTTAGTCACTGACTTTTGATTTTAGGGAATTTATAGTGAATTATTAATAATTCTAAAATAACTGAAGTTGCTGGACTCAGACAGCTAAACATCTGGCTACAGGAAATAAAGACATTGTTCTAAGTGATTTACTATATATTATAGCCTAGTTAAACAGATTTTTATCAGAATATTTGGTAGAAGATGAGGTCAGATTTCAACTTCAACATTGAAAATTTTTCAGATTTTCAATGTTGAAGGTCCTTCCCAGTGGATGAACTCATGGTACAGTCAAATTCAGCAAACCTATATTTTCTTAGTAAAGTATAACTATTGGTACTCATTGGTGAACTTCCTTTGCTTATATTAGAACTACAGCTGTATCTTACTGTTTTCATTTAACATTGCTCTTTAGTAAAAATGTTTCTTATTTCAGTGCTTACTTTTGACAACTGAATGAAGTGTTTCTTGCCTTAGGACTGTCTTTTAGTTTGTTGACCTATACAGTGACATATGTTTCATCCAGATTTAATTCTGAAACAGGGTAAGGAGCTGAACATTACCAGAAGACAATGGTAAAATGGCTGAAAGTGTTAAATGGATATGACTTACCATATTCTTTCCTAACACTTCTTTACTGGCTGACAGAACTGTAACTTCTCAATTGCTGCTGATTCCAGAATCTCTTTTGATGCTTTCTTGGAAGTGCTGGTATTATTTCATAACAGGTGGACTATATTTTGTGAAAGCAATTTCAGCTTTATGTTGATACTTAAGCCAGGAAAAAGTTTTCAGGTTTATAATCACTGGATATCAAAGATTATACAAGTTTCAAAAGCTTTCAAAAAGCTTTCAAAAGTCATGTTAAATTAGTGGAAAGACCAGTAGAAGGAAAATGGACACACTAAATGTTCTCAGTCTATGTCTTCATTAAGACTGAATTGCAAAGACTTTTAATATAAGTAACCTGGTTAAATAGAAAAATTGTTAATACACTTATATCACAGAATCATCTAGGTTGGAAGAGACCTCCAAGATCACCTAGTCCAATCTCTGACCTAACAGTGAGCAGCCCACCACTAAACCATATCACTAAGTTCTGCGTCTAAATGTCTTTTAAAGAAGACCTCCAGGGGTGGTGACTGAACCACTTCCCTGGGCAAAGGGAAACATCCCCATAGGTTCTGCTGAGGCTTGAACTCAGATCACTGGATTCAAAGTCCAGAGTGCTGCCCATTACACCACAGAACCAAATCTGTGGCCAAGAGTAATTTTGATCCTGTAGCTCACAAGACTGTAACCCCTGTTTGTCATTTACTACTTTGTAGCCAGGCAAGGATAAGCAATTTAATTGATAAGTGAAGGCACCCCACACAGAGTACTTTGCAGGAAAGGGCTTGTTACTTCAAGGTAGTGCAATTTAGAATAGTAAATAATACGAAACAAAAGAATTTCTGTGAACTTTTCAAAACTGATGAGGCAAATGGGAGTCATCAGGGTCCCCCCATCTCCCAAATGTATCACACATATAGTTCCTTTAGCATAATGATGCACTTACAGGGCTAATTACAGCACATGTACTTTGCAAGCAGTTTTTACAAAGCATTAGCAGACAGTCCTCTAGTGGCCAAAACTCCTACTATGGGTGGTGTATTTTGGAAAAGATGGAATTATAACAGTGTTGATCTGAATGTTTTTAAAATCCTGCAAAATTTAAATAATGTATACATTTTTTTCCATCACATCCACAAATTAGGAAAAAAGTAAAAATGCCATTGGAAATTAGGATCTTCTTGTGGTCAGTGGAGGATAGATGTATTATAAAAAAGGTATTTTTCAATTTTGCACTTCCAATAGTAACTAACTACGTATGATAAGAAGGGAAATGCATTGTAATCATCCTTCCTCTGCCTTTAGATGAGCCATTAGACGTGAATGAAATGAAATCAGATGCTATGGGCAGAGTTCAGGGAATTTTAGGCTGGCAGATTGTGATTGTATAAAATATTATACCTATTAATATGGAGAATCAGAGACCAAGGTAGAGACATAGTAGAAACTGAATGAGAAGTCTGTGTCTTGTTACACATAGAATTTTCCTGAGCTGGAAAAAAGGCAATCCTGGTTTGCAGGTTCTTCGTCTGTTATATTTCATGGTTGAGTTTTGTAGCACTTACACAATATAGTAAAACTACTTACTGTCAGAAAAGAACTTAATGAACTTTCCCTAACATTTACAGCAAACAGTAATTTTGTATTGACATTGTTGTAACAAAACAATAGGCTTGCATATGAGGCAAATCGCAAAGCAGTCTAATAATGTAATGAACCCACTTTCCTTACTGTCCAACCTTTTCTGGTTGACTATACAGACACTAAGCATACAGCTACTAAAAAAAAAAAAAGTATGAGTTCACAATTGTGCTAAATAACTGCTTTCTGAAAAAAAAGACTAAATTCCTTGAGACACAGTGACATTTTACATGATCCTTCACAAGCAGCAAGAATCGTCTTGCCTTTAAAAAAATAAAAATAAAAATTGTGGAACTTTCAAAATATAGTAACACACCATATGGAGACTAGAGCTGAGGCATCCTTTTTTTTGGCTGTCAGGAAGAGTTTTTAGTACTTGCACAGAAAGTTGCAAGTACAGTAAATGAAATTATTATTTGTCTCCACTTAACGTTATGGTTTTGTAGATGGCATGAAAGGAAAATATTAATGGTTTTCTTTTAAATCTAAGGAACCAGAGATCTGATAGTACAAATTTCATGTACTTATGAAAGAATTTCTAGTGTATCATTTTTATAACACTTTGAAGATAAGTTGGTGGAGTTTTAAAAATTCTGGTAAGCTTTAATTCTCTTTCTACTTGGAAGCTCTTACTTTAGTGAATGTTCATTTGTTCATTCAGCTTCATGCTGCACATAGTATATGACTTTTTTGTATGAATTGTCTTATCACAGTGTGAGTGCTCTGCTTCTCTCTTTCTGAAGTGGAAACACCTTGGAAACACCTAACACAGCCTTTCTTATTGACTATGGAAAATCTGAATTTTCTTGTCATTTTTCTCCTGGACATGATTATACAGCTTATAGAGGGCTTTAAGAAGCATAAATCCACGTTTGATTCTGTGATATACCAGCTTCGATTTTTCTCCTCCTGTATTAGTTCCTCTTTTGTTGTTTTCTCTGTATGTTTTTCATGTCACTTTTCTTAGCTTGGCATTCTTTTGAACCATCATTTCTAGACATCACACTTTCTGCTTTAGACTCTAATCTTAGAACCATTGTCTCCCCCATCTCCCTTTGTTATTAAAAATCTCATTTCCTAACCTTCATACTGCAGTTTACAATTACTTAAATATTTTTTCTCTTTTTTAGCATTTTTATCTACTTGTGGCATGCATTTTGTTTGATCTGGATTGATTCTTAGGCTCACCTGTGTGAGCTGTTATGTACAAGTGATAAAATTGTGCTCTACTATCAAAAACTGTGCTCTGTTGTACTCTTGCATGTTTTTGAGTTCAGAATGTCCAGAACACGATGTCTTGAATTAAATTTGAGTATGTTCCGCGTATTTTCTGAGTTTGTGTTT